CAGTCGTACCAGAGCCCCAACGGGGTGCTTTTCACCGACTTCCCCGTGGAGGACAGGTGCACCTTCACCGTGACTCAGCCTGCCGGCACCGTCAGCACCTGCACGGGCAGCGGAGTGCTCCGGAGGGGCCCCTCGTTTTTCAGTTCCAGCATGGGATCGGTGTCCAACGGGAAGGTGCGGCCTCCCGCCTGTAAAGCGGTCTCTCCTGAGCGGTCCTCCCAGGTGCTCGCTCTGGTTTCGAACAGTTCTGTCGGTTTTACTGCCAACGGCACCATTACCTCACCAGGAAGCCAGCTGGGCCATCCCCTGAGGATTTCCAGTCAGTCGGCGCTCGCACCGCAGCGAGAGCAGATTGTTTTCACAGCCAGCCCTCAGCCTTCACCTACTGGAAACGCACCTCCCTCCAGTAACAGCAACGCGGCCGCGCTGCCCTTGCAATGCAGCCGTGTTTCCAAAATACCAGAAAAAGTGCCGCTGGGGCCCCCCGTGGTTTCCCAGGCGGTGTCCCCCGAGCAAGGCGTGACTCTTCAGAGGCCGGCGTCCCCTCAGGACCAGCCCGTGGAGCAGCAGCCTGTGGTCCTGAGCACCCACAGCCCCGCCGCTCTCAAGGTGGGCACTCAGCAGATCATTCCCAAGAGTTTGGCTTCCGAAATAAAGGTGACGAGCAAAGCCAACAGCCAGAATGCGGAGACGAGCAAGAGGGTGCTGAAGGTCCGCAGCATGGTGGAGAGCCTCAGCGTGCCTTTGGTGGCTGATGCTGAGGAAGAGGCCGAGGGCGACCTGGACAGCCCAGGGACCCTGAGGCGCGGCCTGAGGTCGACGTCCTACCGCAGAGCGGTGGTGAGCGGCGTGGACTTCGACAGCTCTAGTAATTTTAAGAAAAAAAACAGAGTGTCTCAGCCCATACTTAAAGCAGTTGTTGAAGATAAAGAGAAATTTTCGAGCCTGGGGAGGATAAAGGTAAGTTGTGCTGATCGGTGACACGTTGATTTGAATGGTGTAGACTACACAGGAGCGTGATTGGCAATCTCTGCTTTCCATAAATGCTGGGGTTTTTTCAGTTTGCTTTTTGCTACCACAAAACTTTTAATGATGAGTCTCACAGATGACATGCAAATGGTGTTTTCAAAGTAAAGTGGCCGAGGCTTCAGGGACACGATTCTTTTGAAATCTGGGCAGCTCAAAAATGTGTTGATGGCAGCATGCTTGCCTTTGCTGCTGGATTCCCCAGCATATCGAGGTTTTCTTTCACAATCAAATTGATGTTTTAAAAGTCATTTCCCAGAAAGTAGTAAACAGGAAAAAAAGAGACATTGACTTAATAAAGTCTGCCAGCTAGAGTAGACAGACTGACAGAAATGAACTTCCTCCCTTACTCCTATCTGAGACATTACGTTTAAAGTATTTTTAAAGATCAGAGTGTGATTTTTAAATTGATGGAGACCACTTCAGGTATCTTTTTGTAGCTTTATTTTAATGCCTGCAAGTAAAAGCAGAATACTTGTTTTTAATTCTTGGTTGTAATCCCTTAGGAGTAGTAGATTCATATTGAATGTCAATGTATTAAAATCAAATTATAAAGACTTACTGAAAATACTCTTTTACTTGAACATATTGTAATCTTGTATTTCCATCTTTTTAAATATAATTTGTTACTTTTTAAAAAATATATGGGATATAGTTTTCTGCAGAGTGTTTGGAATTGTGTAATAAAGTACTCCAGGCTAAGGGCTAATGCTATAGCTATTAAAATAATTATCAGCTTTATGACAATTTTCAGCCAAATTAAAAATTATGGTTATGGAAGCTTTTGTGAAAATGCTACAAGTGGTGAAACAGTAATCAATCAAATTGTGAACTACGACTGAGTAGGGAGGTGGTTTGTTTTGGTTTGGGTTTGGTAATAGACTTTAACAGTAAGTTATGTTTAAAATAGGAGGACATGACATTGTCCTGTCTTTACACACAAAACTCTTTTTGCTAGTAGCATTTTCTTTAAATAGACTTCTTAAACCATATGACTTTTGCACAAAAACAGCTGTTTTATTTCAAAGGTTTGTTTTGGTCTCAAAACGTTAGTTTACAAAATACTTAATGTGGTTGTTCTTTGCAGAGTGCGTGGAAAGAGACAGCCTTATATTCTCGTAGAAAAGCCCAGTGACAGTGGAATGAGTTGCAAGTTCACTGAACTCTTGTAAAGCTAGTATACTATGCTTTTGAAACATAGGAAAAATGAAGCATTTGGGGCAAATACGTGTAAACAATACATGAGAGGCGGAAAACTAGAGTAGCTTTTCACTTTTTGTGATGAAACAATTGTTTTCATGAATATTTGTCCAACATCAGAATTTTATAGATTAGGGCCTGTTAGTTTGGTGCCTAAGTATCAAATAAAACAGAAGTTCTTGTTACTGTTGGTTATTTTGCATTCTTCTTTTAATGTGTATATATCTCTTTCCTGTTAAAATTATCAGAAGAAAATGCTGAAAGGACAAGGGACGTTTGATGGGGAAGGTAAGCCGTTTTCTGTACAGATTTGATAAATATGCTCAATCACAAGAGAAATGAACTTCAGGATCATTTTGCACACTTCTTTCATACATAGTCAAAGATTAAGTACGTTGTTTTTCAGTAAATTGACTAAAATACGGAACTGTAATTTTGGCACTAGGCATACTTCAGGGAATATTTTAAATAATATAGAATGGCAGGGTAAAAATGTGTTTTTGTTTGAAGGGCTTCTTTTCAACTTAAACTCCTGTTCCTCCTAAAACATGAACTGATTGATGTGTCTGTCTCAGCCCCAACAGTTCTGTAGAATTACATAGATGAGGCTTGTTCCTCCAGTTGGGACTGCCTTCGTGCCTATTCCCTGTGACTCTTCCCAGGTGCAAGACATAGCTTCTGTGGATCAGCTTACGGGTTTGGGGTCATCACTTGCAGCAGACTCCTGAGTTGTTATTCTCCGAGTTTGTGGTTCATGCAGCTATTTCTCTCTTTTCCTCGTAAGGCAAGGGTGATGGGGTGAATTCCTTCACTTTGTAATCCTTTTCTTCTCTTGCTGCCTAGGCTTCAAGTTTAAGCGTCAGAAAAACATTGTCCATGTATCTGCTTTTTTATTCTACTCATTAATTCTGGGCTTTGCCAAGTTTGCTGCTTTTCCCAATATTTCAACAAGAAAAAAATTCTTTCCTGGCTATGAGTCCATGGAAGTTTCATTATAACAACTGCTACTCACTTGGCTTTCCTCTGCTTAATGCCTCCTTACGGTCATCTCAGCTGCTGTGTTACCTTCCTTTTCCTCTTGTTTCTATTCTCAAAACTTTCCGCTTTGTTCTATTTGCATCACCCCCCATCTTACTCTTATTTTCATCTTTTCTCACACTATCTTCTGATGACGTTTTCTAGATTCTCTTCCAATGGCTCCCTTCTATCTTGGACTGATTCCAACTAATAACTTTCTCTGTAATGCCTCTGCAAATTCAGTTGCTATACACAATTTCCTGTCTTAAAAGTGTATAAACTATATAGACACGTTCCAAAGAACAAATACAAAAGGCCAGACCTTGTATAATACTCAGCCAGGGCTGTGTGGTCCAAGCAGGTGGAATGGACCCGCCCAGCCTAAGACCTCAGGACTTGCAGCTGTGCGTGGAGCAGCCAGACTTTTGACTTCTTTCCCCTTTCTCTTGTAGGGGAAGATTGGATATTGTCCAAAGCCTGGCCCATCTCTAAAGTACCTTGTAGAGCTTGCTTTCTTAAGAGCTTAATCTGTCTGTAGCTTATTCTGGTCTTGAATTTCGCTGTCCTTTTCTGTCTGCTTTTGAAGAGGGTGTGTGGTCAGGGAGGTTGGGGCATGCTCCACACCTGTGTTTCTTTGCCATTGATATTACTGAGTTAATACTGGCAGTACTGAAACATATAATGAGTGTATTTTGTCTTAAGGTTCATAGGCCTCATGCTTATTCAAGCAAGCTTTAAAGTTTCTATTTGGAATAGTTCTGACCTCAAATTTCTGAAATTTGGATCATTTCCTTCTCCTAGCGAAGTGCGAAGACAGTATTTAAAGCTGACAATAGAAGTTGGCATGGGTAGTGGACTTATAATGGTCTTGTAGATTAAAATAGCTAGACCTCCAGATTAGTGACTCTGCTCTACTGACACGCTTGTTCCGTTTTTAAATTGCTGGCTAATTATGAAACATTGTGCAGCAAACCAAGGAAGAAAAAATTGTTTTCTGTTTTTTCTTGACAAAGGACACATCTGTTCTTTAATTCAGTCAGTGTGGATCTTTTTGGTAGTGGTACAATGATCCATTGTTACTGTACTGCACCATTGTCCATCCTAAATAAGATACTATCTTTGTCTGATGGAGTTTGTGAACGGCACATTGACATTTTGGTTTCTTTCATTGTTTAAATGTTACTTAAAATTTTTATGAAAGCAACTAAGCTAACATTCTAGCAATTAATGACATACTGTTGTTGTTTTATAGAAAACGCAGTATTATATCAGAACTATAAAGAAAAAGCTCTGGACATAGATTCTGATGAAGAGTCTGAGCCCCGAGAGCAGAAATCGGATGAGAAGATTGTTTTTCACTATAAGCCCCTGAGATCAACATGGAGTCAGCTGTCTGTTGTGAGTATTTGATCATTGTATAGCCAGAGTATCTAAGAATATATTGAAGCAAGTGTTTTTACTTGCTACTGGAGTTTTTGGCTGAAGTTTGTCATCTTTTCCCTTCCAAAATATAAGGTGTTTCCGAATTTTTTTTTAATCGACAAGTTTGCAACTATTCAGATGTTACTAATCCAAATCCAGAGGTCTCAATTTAGCTTTTGTTTAGGTTTTATGTCAGGTAACTCCCAACAGCTTAAAGAAAGCATAAATCATGTTTTCTCGCTCAATTTTAGTAGGTATAGACTGGTGCTCCTGCCAGAATCAGTTTCCCTGGTTACCTGACATCTCCCTTTTTATAGCGCAAGTGTTTGTAGGCTCATGTGGCCACACAACAAACTGGTTAGAGTATGTGATTTGAAATTACCAAGAAAAAAATTCAGTGTAGTTTAAGATGAAATTAAATGCAACTTTGAAATGCAAAGGAATTGATATTTCATAATTTTATGCTTTAAGATACATTTCTATTATTTTTTTTCTTTTTAAACTATGCTGGACAAAGAAAATCAAGCATGCTTCTCTTGTTTGCACATTGAATTTAAGACCCTGACTTTGTACTTCCCTCAGTCACTAAAGATGGCTGCTTAGGCCTTGCCTGCACAGGCTGTTGGCTGCCATACTGATGCAGGTTCGTAGAAGAGTTATGGTTTACGCTAATGTATGTTACTGTATCTGGCTGTTCTGAACGAGGTACTGTCAGAAAGCCTGAAAAGACAGGTTTAAATCCTAACAGCATGTAACTCAGAGTGAAATCTGTGCTTTGTAGTTCCTTTCAATAAATTGGAGTGGTGTGGACCAAACCTTAAATAGGATTTATTCCTGTTCTGTTTTTTGCTAAACTTTGTTTTTCATTTCATAAGACCAACATGGAAGTCCTGATCAATTACTGGTCTTTGTTTTACATAAAAAGCAATGCAATCGAGAAAGTTCATTTTAGGGTCCTGTATTTGGCAAAAACACAACTTTACTGGTTAGTTTTAAAAAAAAAAAAAAAAAAGAAGGTGTTTGTGTGAATTCACTAAAAGGGTGAATTATACTAAAGAAAAACTTCAATTAATTACAAACAAGTTTCTGCTGAATTGTTCTAAATTGCTGCAAGCCAACTTTAAGTTGATTTGACTGCATATATTTAGTGGAAACTATTTTTAAAAAGCCAAGTATTCAGATGGTGGTATTCTGCTATCCTTAGCACAGTCTATGAAGCATGTGCAGTGGCTTTTTCTTGGTAGCATCGTTAAACAAAGTAGAATTCACCTATTTTAATCAGTACTGTAATCTTGCTAGCATCCCTGCTAATAAGCTGGCAAGTTAATGATACTAGTTGATATTTCTACAGGCTTTCCTAGTATGCATGATTTTGAGACTAAAGAAACTGTAAAAATTCTGTGTTTCTGTGGTTAATTTTATCCTTTGATCATTTCTGTGGCTTCTGGATGAATACCCCTAAAATGAAGGGTTTGGGTTTTTTTGGTTTGTGTTTAAGTAACTTGTAGAATGTTGTGGAACCTCATCTCTATATGTGGCATAGGAAAGGATTATTATTACATGACATGATGACCTAGAATACTTGACAATTGGGGCCATTGGCTGTGTATATCCTATATAAATTAGTTATTAAGCCTCAACAAGATTTTCTAAGGCTATTTAGATTGTCTGTTTAGAATAGCTGTCTTACAGGTGTTGAAGACCTTTTGCAGTTTAAGGTATTGAAATATGAATCCTTCTAATTCAATAATTATAAAGAAGGCAAGACATTGTGGTTTTGAAAAGATTTGCTTTAAATTTTCTTTCAACAAATCAAGTACGTTACTTGTAGTTAATTTGCTTAATGTTGCAAAAAAATTTGTTTATAATGAAGTCAATTTGGTTTTTTTTTCTGCCTTCTAGGCAAACTAGCAGTTAAATGTTCAACAGCTGAGGTATTTTGGAAGGAATGCTATTCAGTAATAATAATAATTTCAAAAACACTAATTTGTTGTGAGACCAAAACAGTATAAAGATCATCTCAGTAAAAGAACGATTCCCGTGCCATGCTTACAGTTACATAAACCAACTTGTTCTTTACGATGTCTAGCACAGCAAACTTGTTCAATGTCTTTGCTTGATTTACAAGGTTGGAAGTGGGGAGTATATGGGAAAAGGTAGCGCACTGTGAAAACCAACTATGGGAATCTGAATCTCAGACTGTCTGTGTTTATAACTCTCTGGAAAAATTACATGCTGTCAATGTGTATTAAAAAGCGAGTGTGGAATTGTAACAGGAAGTCAGCTGGAAAATGTTGAAGTATTGGGTTTCCACATACATTAGGAAAGAAGGAAAATAATGTTTATGGTATTTGTTAGCAGTGGCTGTGCTAGGAAATACAGGGGAGGCAGCAGAATGAATCCACTCTTTCTGCAGGATGTTTCTTTGGCCATACAGGCTTGACAGCTGATGCAGTTCTGACCAGACTTTCTAAGTGAGAGGGGTAGTGAAACCTTCGTATATGAAGTTGTCAAATCCTTTATGACAATAATAAAAAAAGGGCGTTTCTGTCTTCCTGCAGTGCACGCACACATGTGAAACTAAGACTGAGCTTTTTGGAGAACATTAAAGACACTGAAATAGGCTGCTATTTAAATCCAGTTCCTTTCAAATTCCTCTCTTGTACCCTCTATCTCTTTAGATTCCTGTTACAGATTAGACAGCTAGCAGTAGCTAAGCGGATGACTGGGTAAAGAGGTAGCTTATCTACTATCTCTGTTCCTTCCAACCTTCACCTGTTAATTTAAAAGTTTAATTTAGGGAGAATAACCAATATTTCCAAAATATATTCCAAAAGTATCTTCCGATATTTTTGAAGAATTTCCAGCAGATCATAGGCACTGATACTAACTTGGGCTCTATATTAAATGTATTTACTTTCCAACAAGTGCAGCATTCAGTTGGTATGGATAATGACAATGTGTATTGTTGTGCATGCAAAGAATCACAGCATCGGTTAAGTTGGAAGGGGCCTCTTGAGATCATCTTGTCCAACCCCCTTGCTCAAGGAAGGTCAGTTAGAGCAAGTTGTCCAGGACTGTGTCCAGTCAGGGTTTTAATATCTCCACAGATGGACACCTCACCACCTCCCTGGGCAACCTGTTACAGAGTTTGACCACTGCATCTGACTGGCGGACTTTGAACTTAAATGTCTGTTTTTTCGGGTCCTTACTGTCCAGCCTGGAGAACATGATGCATGTTCATTTTCATTAGTACTGTCAATGCTGCTGTGATTCTTATAAATATTCTTGAGATCTAGCACTGGAAATAAATGTCCCGTCGCATAGGTAATGCTCATAATTATTGAAGTATTTAATATTAAATGGGTGTTTTAGCATGAAGTTCTCCATTTCATGCCCAGTAGGTGCAATGTATTTACGTAGCACTGCATCAAGATTTTGCGTGTTCTCTGAACTGCTGTCTTTCTAACCCAAAATTCTTTCCAAGCTTTGGTCATATTGTGTTTCATTTTTCTGATCATCTCTTTCTCTGGTTTGGGACAAGTGCAGTTGTGATTTTTCTCATTTATTTAAAAAGCTGCTGCAAGTTGCTTTACTGAGCCACTCACACCTTTCCATAGCTGCCTCTTCTCTGTGGTATCAAACAAAAACTACTTGGTTTTACTGTCAAGGATCTTCAGGGCTAATCTCTGCATTAGCTCTCATTTCTCTCCCAGTATCAAAAGGCTTATGTTCAATTTGGTTTATGGAGCAGCCACTTACTATTTTTCTCAAAGAAGTATTTCTGGTGCATTCCCCCCCTGCAGCACTTCCTTGTTCTGGAGGAACTTCTTGCACATAACCACAGAGTTAACCTGTCGTTCTTTCATCCTTTCCTCCTTGTCTCCATGGTGAATTGCTGGAAAAAAGCAGTCCAGTGTGACAGTAAGACAACATCGGTAGCTGTAGTGTTGGGCTTCTTCTATTCTTTCTGGTTATGTTCTTAGCTTATATTAAGTTGTTGTTCGCATAGTATCACAAATACGATTTTTAGGCTCTTTCAGCTAAAACATTTTGGACATCTCAACAAATAGGAATTGAATTTTCTTTCACAGACTATACCAAAAATAGTCTCCATATTTGGGCCTCTTTCTCTTTGGAAGTGTTGCCGTTGATTAAGATGTAAGGTTGAGTCATTTGCTTATGTGATGAATTTATATGTGTACTTTGTATGTACACACGCATATATGACAAAATAGTGATCATGAAACATAGCTACAGTTTTTTGAACATGAATGTAGCAGTTGCTGCATTGACCTCACTGGAAATTTGCAGTTGCTGTATTAACAGGAAGCATTGAAATCTCTTGGATATGTTCATAGATATTTCCTGTGTCGGCATATTTTTAGAAAAGCCCTCCGCTGCATCCAGAAAAAAGTGACGTTGTACTTCCTAGTGAGTGCTCTAAAGCTTTCAGGTTGATTGAAAGATACTTTAATAGAAAGGCATTTAATTAGTTCTTGCTTGGTATTCAGAAGTGTATGCTTGGAATCTATAATCTTGTGTTCAAAAGAACAATTGCTCGAACACTGGAATATTTATGTTATTTTTATAAGTATATACGTGTGTATATACTTTGGTGTGCATGCAAATCAAAGTGCAGCACTACTTAATGTGGTGCTGTCTTTACTCTTGAGCCTGCTATCCAGGTTTGTGGTGACTGGTATGCAGGAATAAGATGAGGAATAATATATCCTCTAAAATTCCAGGGAACGAGTGGAGTAAGAAGAGAACGCTGTGGATAATAGTACGTTAGGCGCTTTTGGAGAAGACTGAAAGAGAAATGGGAGAATGGAAGTGCATCTGTTAGGTCTCATGTCCTGTGACTTACTGCAGCTCCGCGAAGGGAACAGTATCTGTCACGTGTAGTGCTGTGCGGTGGCCTCTTTCCCCTTCCCTGGTCCAGTGTGCCATACGCAGGTGACCCTGCTGATTTGAGGTCCTGTGTTTAACACTCCTGTAGGAAATGCATAAAGTCAGTCCCTCCTTGGTGCTTCACTTTCTGTTTTTTTAAATGTTCTCCTGTTAAATGACATAATGCATGCAATTTGCACCAAGAAAGAATAAACCTCAGGGGTCTCTGGTGTGGAATTTGGTAGCTGAGCATGTGGCTTCAGACTGTGGAACATGTGGCTATGGCTGTAGTTCATGATGGTTGTGTATGGAGAGCTGGGGCAAACTTGTCTTGGCTGATTTGGCTGTAGGGTGCAGAGTGGGGAGAGACATCATCGTAGGGTTGAGGATAGAAATACAGGGGTATTTACTCGAGACTTTACCATGTCTGTTTAGGGTAAAGCTGGAGCACATCCAGAATAATTTTTTGGCCACAAACTACCTGTCTAGGTATTTTGTCTAGGCATTTAGGTGTGTTTAACAAATGAAGAGACTAAGATTTTTCAGGCCGACTCGGAAAACGAACCTGATGTACGTGTGTCAGTCAAGAAATCTAACTGAAAAGGAGCAAGCAGTTTTCATGCTTGTGTGTGTGTGTAAAAGCCAGGGAGGTTGTGCAGGGTAACCACAATTCAACTGTGCATGGGGCTGGAAAGCTGCCCAGAGGAAAAGGACCTGGGGGTGCTGGTTGACAGCCGGCTGAACAGGAGCTGGCAGTGTGCCCAGGTGGCCAAGAAGGCCAGCGGCATCCTGGCCTGTATCAGAAATAGTGTGGCCAGCAGGAGTAGGGAGGTGATTGTGCCCCTGTACTCGGCCCTGGTGAGGCCGCA